CCACCCCCCCGCCCCTTCACCACTGCCGGGGATGGGCCAGCCACAGCTTCCCTGGGCAACCTGGGCCAGGCTCTCACCACCCTCACACCAAAGAATTCCCTCCTAATATCTCACCTAAATCTCCCCTTTTTCAGCTTAAAACCATTACCTCTTGTTCTACCACTACCTTCTCTGGTGAAAAGTCTCTCCCCAGCTTTCCTGGAGCCCCTTCAGGCACTGGAAGGTGCTCCAAGTTCACCTGACACTTCATCTTGGCTCCATAGTAGGTGGCAGCCTCGGGGGACACCATGAAGCAGTCGCCGTCGATCCGCACGTCGCAGGCGTGGAAGGGGAAGTGGATCTTTACTGCGGGCAGGGACGGGAACAGTGGGTACTGGTGCCCCAGAGCTGGGCACACTGGGAGCCCTGGCCCCGCCGCAGGGGTCCCCACCCCTGGGTCCCCACTGTCACCCCACTCACTGCCGCAGTCGGCGCCGCCATAGCCCGGGTGGCAGAGGCAGGAACACTCCTCCTTCCGCAGCTTCCCGTGGAGACACTGCCCACTGCACCGCACTGCGGGGCGGGCTGCGTGGGCTGGGGCCTGCACTGCAGGCACTGCCCCCCTGCACTGCACCCCCTGCACTGCCACTGCCCCCCTGCACTGCCCCCCTGCACTGCACCCCCTGCACTGCAGGCACTGCCCCCCTGCACTGCACCTCCTGCACTGCAGGCACTGCACCCCCTGCACTGCACCCCCTGCATTACAGGCACCGCACCCCCGCACTGCACAGGGGGCACTGCACCTCTCACACTGGCACTGCACAGCAGGCACTGCACACTCTACCCTGACCATGCTCATGCACGCACTGCCCCACCCCTGTGCACACACACAGTGCCACTGCCCATGCACACTCCTGCCCTGCACCAGCAGGCACACGCACTGCACTGGCGCTGCACTGACAATACACTGGCACTGCACTGGTGCTGCCCTGACACTGCACTGATGCTGCACTGGTGCTACACTGGCACTGCACTGGTACTACACTGGTGCTGCACTGGTGCTGCACTGGCACTACACTGGCACCGCACTGGTGCTGCCCAGACACTGCACTGACAATACACTGGCGCTTCACTGGCGCTTCACTGGTGCTGCACTGGCACTGCACTGGCACTACACTGATGCTGCACTGGTGCTACACTGGCACTGCACTGGCACTACACTGGTGCTGCACTGGTGCTGCACTGACAATACACTGGCGCTTCACTGGCGCTTCACTGGTGCTGCACTGGCACTGCACTGGCACTACACTGGCACTGCACTGGTGCTGCACTGGCACTGCACTGGCACTACACTGGTGCTGCACTGGTGCTGCACTGGCACTACACTGGCACCGCACTGGTGCTGCCCAGACACTGCACTGACGCTGCACTGGTGCTACACTGGCACTGCACTGGTGCTGCACTGACAATACACTGGCGCTTCACTGGCGCTTCACTGGTGCTGCACTGGCACTGCACTGGCACTACACTGATGCTGCACTGGTGCTACACTGGCACTGCACTGGTACTACACTGGTGCTGCACTGGTGCTGCACTGGCACTACACTGGCACCGCACTGGTGCTGCCCAGGCACTGCACTGGCACTACACTGGTGCTGCACTGGTGCTGCACTGACAATACACTGGCACCGCACTGGTGCTGCCCAGACACTGCACTGACGCTGCCCTGGCGCTGCCCTGGCACTACACTGACAATACACTGGTGCTGCCCTGGCACTGCACTGACAATACACTGGCGCTTCACTGGCACTGCCCTGGCACTGCACACCCGCCCAGCAGCAGGGCCCACGCCGCGCCCACCCCCACCTTGGCAGTAGCGGCCGGTGTATCCGGGGGCGCAGGCGCAGAGGCAGGAGCTGAGCACCAGGTGCCCTCCGTTCCGGCAGCTCATGCGGCAGGGGTTCCGCGGCACCTCTGCAACAGGGAAAGGGGGGC